ACATGAATTATTGTACGTATATGTATCTAAGTATAACACACATACTTTTGCTGACCTACTTGACATTTTTTTAAAATGTTTATTTATTTTCGGAGAGAGTGTGAGTGGGAAAGGGGCAGGGGAGGGGGACAGAAGATCCGAAGCAGGCTCCACTCTGAAAGCAGCGAGACCAGTGTGGGGCTCGGAATCATGAACTGTGAGATCACAACCTGAGCCAAAGTCAGATGCTCAACTGACTAAGCCACTTGGGTGCCCTGACATTTCTATCTTATTACCTCTGTACAAGCCACAAGTGAGATTTCCCCATCTCTCCGTGTCTGCTCCTAGAAGCACATTCATCAGGGAATGATGTTAAGGCTTCACTTTGAAGAATGTTTGCATTATTTTTGATCCTTAAGAACAGGCGTGCTCTTTCTAAAAGGCATCAGATAATACATTTGACATTTGGCATCAGTGAAGCGAACATCTTCCAAAGGTCTCCTCTCCCAGGACCTGGGGACTGGATAAAGCCACATCGTTATTAAGAGTTGTCCCTCCATCCCCCTCCGCTGCTGAGTTAGTGCTACCTTCCCTGGAGGGCAGCCCATCCAGGCCCTTTCTGTAGATGACAAGCAGTGTGGGGTAAACTCGAGGGCTCAGTCCAAGATCAGAAGGTTATCCCAATGCCATAGGAAGAGCACAGAAATGAGACCCTTGAGTGCTCTCTTGGTTGCAGTGACCTTGGGCAGGTCAGATCTTCACTGATCTGTTTTCCCATCTGAAGAATGAGGAAAAGATAACATCATCCTGACAGGCCCTGGGGCTTGTGGAGAAGCGAGCATAGGCTTCCTGTTATAAATGATGACATAGTTAAGTCTCAAGAGCCAGGTGTCTGGTCAGAAAATCACGGGCTCCACATTCTCAGGGGCTTAGCAGCGGCCTGGTAGCCGCTGGGGGAGAAAATGTACAACTTCCGAGATCGCTAAAGGGAAGGGTGCTCTCACGGGCAGGAAGGGATGGGCAGCAAGACCAAGGACAAAGAGAGCATTCATGCACAGCCTCCAGTGGTGCTGGGCTGGGGAAGCCGAGACAAATACAGAGCAGAGCCACTGGGGTTCATCGCAATGGGCGATTGGGTAACCAGGTTCCTGACACCGTGCCCCAAGTGCTTATACTTCATCTATCTCTTGCCACATTCATATCACAGATTGGGGGGGGACAGGAGAGAAGGGAGAGAAGGCCCCCTTGACAATCCATTTCCCTTCCTGGACTGGATGAGAGATCAAGTCCAGCCAGGAAGCTGCAGCATAGCCAGGAGGCCCCATGCCTGTCTATATGAGGTGTGACCAGTCGACAGCCATGGGCCTTGATTGGGGGATCTTCGAAAGACAAGATGACCAGGGGATGGTCAGAAATCTGGCCCTTCCCACACAAGCTCCCACAGGACTGGTGGGCCCGTCTTGCCCACAGACATCCAGGGCAGCCACATCCCCCACGCCTTCCTTGGGTCTCAGCAGAGTGGAAACACATCCGCAGGGAAACTTTCCAGAGGTTATCAGGAGTGACCCAGAGAGAGGGGCCGAGCGCAGTAAACACAAGCGCCTTTGCAGCTGGGTGCCTGGGCCCTTCCCCGGGGGCCACTTGGCAGGGGAGGTGGTGCTGGCTCTTACTGGGGTAATGTGAGCCACTTTGCCCAGCCTAGGGGAGCCAGAGAGAGGTGGGGCCAGGCAGGAAGTGGGAACCCTGTGCCTCTCCAAGTCCAGTGTGCCATTGTGCTGGGGGGACTCACAGGGGTCTGGAAAGGGCTTCAGCCTCTAAAGAAACAAGAGACCCCCTCACCGAGAAGTCTTCGAGGAAGACCAGACGGCTGTGGTTAGACGCCTATCCTGTCCTGTGAGGTGGGTACCTGTTGAAAGGGGGAAGGATCTAGAGGCTGCCCAGGAGCTTTCAGTGGCTGAACTGGAAGATTCTCTGGCACTGCCACACAGCTTGTGGGGCTCCTTCACCACTGCTGGCCTGACTGGGCCAGGATGCCTTGCCTAGAAAAGGCTGCCTAGTGTGCAGGTGCCCCTGGCCCCCATGAACAGGTACTGGGTTGATGGGTATGTCTGTGTGTTTCTGTGTAAGAATGGGCAGGATCAGTATTGAAAGCAAGTCCCCACAGTCTGGTGCTACAGAAGTGGCCTAAAAGCCGCCATGCAGCAACATGCTGTCCGAACCAAATTTAGGGTGTAATTGTCTGACAAGTGCGTATATGAATATATGGGGAGCATGAGACAGATTATTTGGTTTTTTTTTTTATATTTTTTATTTATTTCTAGGAGAGAGAGACAGCGTGATCAGGGGAGGGTCAGAGAGAGAGACACAGACTCTGAAATAGGCTCCAGGCTCTGAGCTGGCAGTCAGCACAGAGCCCGACGCAGGGCCCGAACCCACAAACCGCGAGATCATGACCTAAGCGAAAGTCGGAAAGTCGGATGCTTAACCGACTAAGCCACCCAGGTGCTCCGAGACAGATTACTTGATATGAAGTCTGTGATTAAGGAATTCAAAGGCTTGTGATTTTCCCACCCACTAAGCATGTTGAAGACAAAAGCTATGGTAACTGGATAGACTCAGAAGATCAGCTGCCCCATTACAAGCTGTGTGACCCCAGACAAATTCCTTAGCTTCTCTGAGCCTCAGAATGCTCAACAGCAAATGAGTAAAATATGTATAATAATGATGCGTCTTTCACTGGACTATTGGAAAATGAAATGAGGTCATGCCTGTGAATATCACTGCAACTATTTTTGCTCCCCCCACCCCAACTACCTAGCTGTATAAACTTGAACAAGTAATTACTACTCTCTGGGACTATGCTTCCTAGGAAATGAAGAGACGAGACTGGGTTTCTAAGAGTCCTCCTCAGCTTTAATGTTCTCTGCCATGACCCAAAAGAATGATTGGCTTTTTGCCATTGTATTAAGCACCCACCTTGGAAAGGTTCCCCATTCCAAATGTGGCCACACCCTCCCCATCCTCCCTTTCCTCTTAAGAAGATCTGCAATTTTCCTGGAGAGTTAGCACAGCTGTATTCATCGCAGCAAGAGCTGTGACGTCCAGGCGTCAAGGAGCAATTGGGGGCTTTGGCCTGGCACCTTTGTATGGGATCCAAGAAGGCTCAACAGCTTTCCTACTTCCTACTCACCTGCCCTAACTAGGAATAACTAGAGGTGGAAACCAGCAAACCTATACTTGTGTAACAGATCTGTTATTTACCGGCTGGGAGACCCTGGGATCTTACCTTACTTCTCTGAGGCTGTTTCCCCGAGAACCTCTGGAGCAGTTATCTCATGGGGATGTTCCAAGGATTGGATGAAATCATGTGAATAATGTGTCTAGAGTGAGTAGTGGTAGCTGTATGTGTTGTTGTCTATCATAAAGTAGTATTTCCCACTAAGCGTTAAATTTTCATGATCCCTATTGTTAGTGATCATAATGGGGAGTGATGTCAGTAGTCTCAATCTCCTTCATCCACACAGAGGGGCCAGAGGCAGCAGCCCAGTCAGCTATCAGCTTTCTGCAGCCCTGAATTTGGATATCAGATAGAAATAAAACCCTTAGCATTATCATCCCTCTGGAGCCACTATTCATTAATAACTTTGGCTCCTCTGTGGGAGTGGAAAGCTAAAGCTGGACATTCTCAGTTTTGTCCCCAGAGAGAGGGCCCTGGCTCTGCAAATTACTCTAGGCATCCCCTGTAGGAAGGACCAGTGGTGGCATCAGGCCTCTGTGTCTGGGGACTGAGGTAGTGAATAAGATTCTATTCATGAGCTAGTTAAAAACCTCAGCATGCAGTTGAGTCCAGAATGGGCACAAAGGGGTGTTAAGAGAATGCCACCTAATGTGAAATAGGAACCCCTCCCTGGGTTGCAGAGACACGTTCCAGAGCCCTGGAGACCTGGAGCACCAGCATTCCAAGGTGCTCAACAGATGAGATACCGAGTTCATTCCCACCTCATTTATGCTCAGGAACAGCAAGTGCAGAGGAAACAAGATGCAGAATCCTTCCCTCTTTTCATGTACCCCATCCCGGCTTCTTGGAAATCTCCAGGGTCAATAAACTCACTGACAAAGAGAGTGAGAAAGGAAATTTTCCACATACATAAAATGCGAGGCCAAGATGATCCAGATCCCCCTTGATTCTTTTTTTTTTTTAATTATTTTTGTTTATTTCTGAGAGAGAGAGACAGCGTGAGCAGGGGAGGGTCAGAGAGAGAGGGAGACACAGAATCTGAAGCAGACTCCAGACTCTGAGCTGGCTGTCAGCACAGAACCCAACGCGGGGCTTGAACCCACGAACTGTGAGATCATGACCTGAGCCGAAGTCGGACGCTTAACTGACTGAGCCACCCAGGTGCCCCTCCCCCTTGATTCTTTAATCTGCAGCTACCCTGCATTGAGAGCTTTGTATGAGAACATTTTGAATATATTGAATATATCTTATTTTCAGACCGTCAACAATCCCACCAGGTGAGTGCTATTGTCAGTCCTACTTTATAGATGAGGAAATTGAGGTGAATAATGTAAAATAACTTGCCCAAGATCACACAAGCTACTAAGTGACGGAGCCACGATTTGGACCCAGGACCTAATTCATAATCACTAGCAGAATTCCCCAGGGAATGGATGAAAGCACCAGAACAGGGTAACAGTGATTTCCTAAACATGACCTCGGTTCCCCCAACCTTTTAGGGAAAGCCTGTTGAACATCTGTTATGAGTCGGATGTTCTCACATTTATTTTCCACACAACACCACCTATGAGGTTGATCTTGTCTCTGCTTTATGGAGGAAACTGAGGCCCATAGAGGAAAGATGGCTCCCCAGTTCACATTGCCTACAAATAGTGGAGTTGTGCCTGGCATCTTGCTCTTGGGGCTCTGAGGCTGGTGTTCTCTCTCCCGATTCTGCAATGGTTTGACCAGTCAGCTTCCTAGTATTGGTTGTTTTCTCTCTCTCTTCCAGGGAGGATTCACCATGTGTTCTGAGACGGGCTCCAGGTGCTCAGGCATGCTGCTCTTGGCCTTGGCCATCATGGCCATCATCGCCAACCTCCTACTATACTTTCCCAATGGGCAGGTGCTGGAGCTTGCCAAGATTACAGATTTGGTATGGTTTTTCCACGGCTTTTTTGGAGCTGGGCTCTTGGTAAGAATGCATTTAGCTACCTTGCTTCCTCCAAGTCACAAAGCAATCATCTCATCTTGGGCCCACCTTCCCTGGGCCCCCAGCGCATGGCTAACTGTCTCCTTCTCTACCTCACAATACGTGATACATAAACACTTGGCACTTGGTACTGCGAGCATCTATTTATGTGCTCCTCCACTGGGCTATGATTTCCTCAAGAATACAACCCAAGTCTCATTCACCTTTGCTCTCTAAGTGCCTATCTAGCAAAGTGCTGGCTTAGACCAGAGCTTAATGTGTGCTTGTTAATTACATGAGGAGGTACACTATAAAAAGCATAATAACCAAGTATTTGTCAGGTTCATCAGGTTTCAAGATGACCATCTTGAAAATTGTGTACCACCCATCAAGGCTTCCCCAGGCAAAATTATGGGGGTTGGCAAACTTTTCCTATAAAAGGCTGGATAGCAAATACTTCCAGCTTTGCGGGCCCTGTGGTCTCTTGTTTCAACTACTCAACGCTGCCACCAAAGGGCAAAAGCAGCCACAGACAATACATAGACAAATGGATGTAGTCATTGTTCCGATAAAACTTTATTTATAAACACAGGCAATCTGCTGGCTTTAACCCACATGTTGTAGTTCGTTGCCTCCTGAGACACTGACTGTTTTCCTTTCTTTCCACCTTTGTTTACATTCAGCTCCTCCTCTCCCAGGTATCCAGTGTTCCCTTATGAAAAGATCATTTGTTTATGGAGACCCAATGCCAGACACTGAGTAGGTGCTCAGCAAATGGATGGATACATGCAAGGGGCATAAAGAACCCTCAGAAAAAGGGTTCTGTTTCTTCTCCCCACACAATAGTAGACACAGTGGTCATCTGCCCCTCCCATGATGGCAGAGGCTGGGCCTTCCTGCCCAAGAGAACACTTAAAACAGCAATACCTGGGTAAAGGTGGTCTGTGTCTCAGCCCTGAGCCCTTCCTAAGAGGCTGCGCAGACCTAGGAAGTCTGCCAGACCCTGCTCAAATCACATGTCTACCCCTGAGCTGCTGTGCAGACCTCCCTGAGCTTCCATTTCAGCGTGGAGAACATTACATGAGAACATATACAGAGCACCCTGCACATACCTGGCCGCCTGCAAAATGCAATCTGTTCTCTTTCCTGGTTCAGATTACCAGCTCCTCTGCCTCCTGCAAGGACCGTTCAGGCGCCTTCTCCAGCCTCGCCCCCACCTTGCCTACTCCTGCAGGACAGGCTTACGTGGGAAAGTCCCACCATCAAGCAAATGCTGAACTCCCCTTGGCCTCCGCTCTCTTCATCTGTAGGATATATGGCACCCAGCTTCTCTCAAGATGAAATGAGCAAATGCAGGACTGTTGAAGGGAGTCAAATGAAGCAGCTTGAGGATATTTCGTTTCCCTGATAGAATCTCAGAAGGTTTATAGAATGACCCAAAGGGAAGACATTTCACGGTCCTCAGGAAAGCAAGTGGAGCCTGACTCACTTCCTCTTTCTCCTCTTTTGTTCTTTTTCTTTTCCCTTTTTCTTCCTTTTTGTTTTTTTCTTCTTCTTTCCTTGTTCAGTCAGTCTTTGGTGTCCATTCTGGGCCTTCACATGTGCCAGCTCTACGACAAACTAAGGCAGTGACTATGGGTTTGGAAAGAGGAGGGCGCACTGGAGCCATATTGAAAGGTTGAGCTGGAAGGGCCTGAAGACTGATGGGGGTGAGGGGAGGGAGCAGACCAGATTGGTTCCAGCATTATGGCCCGGGCACCTGGGGAGCTGGTGGTGGCATTCTCCCAGGCAGGTACCTCAGGGTGGAGGCCAGGAGGGAGACAGAGTTTCCACATCCCCCTGAGGGATCAGAGGAAGCTTGGCTAGGATTGGAGGCCAGGAGAGAGGCAAGATGGAGATCCCCTGTGGAGAGGTGACGTGGAGCCCCAGGGGCAGAGGGTATATCCAAGGCTCGTAGCAGAATGAGAGAAGAAAGGAACCCTGGTCAGAGACCCAGAGGAATAAGAGGAAAGAAAGTGCGAGAAGGAGAGTGGCAGACAACAGCTAGGAAGTCTCAGGTGAAGCAGCAAAGGGGAAAGTGAGAAGAGCTGAGCAGGAGAATATTTCCAGGAGTGAGGAATCCCAGTGTCCACCACAGCAGAAGGGACAAGAGCCGGGCCCGGGGAGGCATCTGCTGCACAAGAAGCCCGGAGAAGCCCTGGGGCTGGCGGGGAAATCCAGACTGCAGGGGGCAGAGGAGTGAGTGCAGGTGGGGAGCTGGGCTCTGAAAGTGGAAGAAAGAAGGCTGAGCTTGCCTTCCTGATGCAAGGAAGGCCAGAACAAGATCTCAAAAGCCACACGGGACACCGCGGGCACTAAGAAGCACAGAACCATTTACGTAGCATCACAACACTAGTAGACACAGTAGATCTACCAGAATTCATGGTTTCTCTTCCTTAACAATTGTAACCGGCATTTGCACGAAGGCTTATACATATTATTCCATTGACTTCCCACAGCAACATTGCCAAGTGGGAATCATCTCCTCCGACGGGTAAAGAAATGAGGCCCAGGCAGATTAAGTCATGTGACCACAGCCACACAATGGGCACAGGGCAGAAATGGGGCTTCACCACCCGTCTGAGTCCAATGCCCGTCATCTCTCCATTTCTCCACCATCTGGTGCATTCGTGCACACGCAGCCCAGGAGCAGAAAAAGATGGCATGTGTGAATCTGTGCCGGCAGAGGTCCTGCTCCACACCACATCCCAGTGAACAGGAGGCCACGGAGGTACTGACAGGGTGGCTGCAGGCAGTGCTGCTCTTCAGATGAGACAGAACACCAGGGCCACTTGAGTCACCACTGGCCCGACATCCCCCACCCCGCCAGGTAGACAGCCATTCGGGGGCTGAGTTCCTTCCATTGTCAGTTACAGCCATGGTGTGTAAAGACACGCCCAACACGTGAGGGATGTGCCCTCTCGAGAAGGACATCCCCACTGCCTCCCTGTATTGTTGCTGGAGGGCAGCCTCGTGGCGTCAGCGAGGTTGTTGTCTCGGAAGCCAACACCAAAAATAAAATCTCTGTTTTCATGGAGCCACAGGCCAACGCAGAACCGACAGACTTCTGTGGTTAAAAAAAAATGGGCATCTGGGACCAGCATCCCATGAACTGTGTATGCCGGGGACTGAGAAACGGAGCCCCCCCTTTTCTTTTCATGCAGCTAATGGGTTTTTTTCCTCAGAACTATTATTTGCAGACTTGGCAAGACTTTTAGGAAGGACAGCTTAAGTCTAGTTAGTGGCGTGGTTTGGGGGTCACTCAGGGGCCTGATTAGGAGTAAGGGTCTGCCCGACACTGCAGAGATGGTTCAAAGCTCCTTCAGAACAAGGGAGATGGACAAATAGGCAAATAATTCAGCCCAATGGGGTGAGTCCCTGCTACTATGGCGCTTGGGGTCTCCAGAAGAGGAAATAATTAACTCTACCTTGGGGAACAAAGAGGGTCATCCGAGAGAAGAAGGTGTCTGAGCTGTACAGTACAGAATTAGTAGGTATTTGCCAGCCAGAGAAGGGAGGAGGCCGTTCCAGACAACTGGTGCTGGAATGCAGACCCAGGCCGAATTCTGCACTACCTTGTGCACCATGCTGACAAGCAGCTTCTTACCCTTGAGGACTTCACCCACAAGCATTTATTGAGCACCACTATGTGCCAACATTGTTCCACGCATGAGGGACACAGCAGGGAAAAAAAGCCAATAAAATTCCTGCTTTCCCAGCCCTTAGTGGGGAAACAAAAGACCATGAATAACCAACTGTATACTATAATTTCGGGTGGACAGTGCTAGGGGGGGAAATAGAGTATAGAATAGATAGCAAAATACCTCCTGAGGAGGTGGCCTTTAAGCAGCCACTTGAATGAAGTGGAGAATGAGCCATGTGGATATTCAGGGGAACAGCAGCCCAAGCAGAGGGAATGGCACAGTCAAAGGTCTGGAACTGGGAATGTGCTTGATAGTTCCAGAATCAGCAAGAAAACCAGCGTGGCTAGAGCCAGCTCAAAAAGGTTTAGGAGAGAGGGGAGGAAACGAGGTCAGAGAGAGAAGTAAGTAGTCACTAGAACTTGAAAGCAGGGGAGAAACATGCCCAGGTGCCATCGAGCTATGACGATCTTGACCTCAAGCCATCAGTGCACTCTGCCCGCCCCCACCTTGGAGCCTGGCCTGCTCTATGTACCAAGCTGTGCTCCCTCGAAGGTGCTTAGTTAGAGAGACTCTTAGCACCCCCATCCTCCAAAGTGATTCCCACAGTTCTCTTTTGTCAGCCCCAAACCTGTGTCCTCACCACAATCTCCAGATGGTCCTGGGACTCAAGGAACTATGTGTCTCCTAAGGGCCCAACAGATGAACAGAAGTAATTCCTAATGCCAGAAGGTTCATCAGAGCTACGAAAAGAAACGTAAAAGAGGGAGAGTGTTATACCATCTTCTTGGATCCAAGTATACAGGAACCCAAAACCCAAAGCTGCCCACGTCCATTCTCCCAGGGCAGCCAGGGGGGTGGCCAACTCTTCCCACCTGGAAGGTTCTCATCAGCTCTAGATCCTAGCACTGAGTTACCCAAAGATGATTCTGAAAATCTGAGATTTTTGTGAAAATACTTCATTTAAAGAAACATGTTCATTGAATTAATGGGAAGAACACATCCCCACTATACTAGTCAAGCTTTTCCTCAAATTTTCAATATATTTTATTCATGCAGTAAAGCAGTGCAGGGCACACACAGCCATTCGGTCATTTGCATGAGGTCTGCAGGAAGTACCAGCAATTCTGACCTTTGAATAGCTTTCTCCTCTGGGCTTAAGAATTCAGCTATATAACCTGATTTATATCCTTGTTGGGAGGAAAGAAAATAAGGTAGAAAGCCAGGAGGGGCAAGGGAAAAAATGAGGGAGTAGGCCCTTAATAACTCTCTTCCTCCCTCTCTCACCTTGTCAACCCCCAGAGCAGGAAAAGGCTCCTACAGCAAATTTTCCTATCCAAAGAAAAAAATATATACTCTATTTAAGGCACTTGGAACTGAATCTTTGAACTGGAAAGAATCTTAGAGGTCAATATTTTAATCCCTCTTGTTTTATAGATTAAAAATTAAACCACGAGAGAGGTTAATCTAGATCTAGCCCATAGAGTTAGGGTGTGGCACAGCAAGGTATAGAATGCAGGTGTCTGGGCTCAAAGGATGCCCAAGACAGATGACAGTGACAGCTCAGAGCAACAGTGCCTTTGCTGGGGTTCATTCTGGACAAGGTCTGATATGCAGCATTACAGATCAGGACCCTCATTTCACCTGGGCACAAAGTGAAACTTCTCAGGAACCAAGAACAATAATACTAACCAAACTCACCAAAGCTTGACTGATAAATCAGAATGTCAGTGTATGTATCCCAAGGGGAAATACTCCTGCCAGGAAAGTGGTTGGGGGGTGGCGGTGGGGAAGAGGTCAAGCCTTCTCTCCCATCTCCGTGGAAGTGGCACACAGGGTGGCGGGAGTCAAACAGAGCTGGGTTTGAAACCATGCTCTCTGGCAGGCCAGCAGTGAGATCCTAGGAAGGCACTTCATCTCTCTATGTCTCAGTTTCTCCCACTGGAAAATGGGGGCATCGGCAGTCGCCACCTCCTGTGGCTGTGATGAGCACTGTAGGAGATCACAGAGGGCACCCAGTCCTGAGCCCAGCTCGCAGCTCTGCTCATTCAACACCAGCTGTAAGAGAACCGGAGGAAGGGGCTGTTGGACCACCTCTGTACCTAGTGTTATGCAGTTGTGATGGTCAGATACATTTCCACTAAAGATGGAGGGCTGATCATTAGGCAGACTCAGCACACTTTTCTCCAGCACGGTGAACACACACTGCCCAATCCTAAAACTGGGGTTCTCCTTTTACTAGATCTGCCCTGGCCCTCACTCATCAAGGCTTCATAACTAGCAGGCAGTTGGCCCAAGTTTGTTTGCTTAGTGTCTGTCTGGCTGGCTGGCTTCACAGTGACCTGGAGACCTTCAGGAGGGGTCTGTATCCCTGCCCCACATTCTCCTTAGTCCCCACCGCTCTGTATTATAATATTCCAAGACACATTTTCTTTTTTAAAAAAATTAAAAAAAAATTTTTTTTAATGTGTATTTTTTGAGAGAGACAGCACTAGTGGGGGAGGGGCAGAGAGAGAGACACACACACACAATGCAAATCAGGCTCCAGGCTCTGAGCTGGCAGCACTCTGTGTGGCAAGAAGCAGAATGTGGTGTGCTCAGCACCACACCACCTACCGGCAGGCCTGAGGGCGAGCTGCCTGGCAGAGGTCACAGAAAACTATACAGGGGAGATGTATAGTTTTCCCACAGCTGTTATAACAAAGTACCACAAACCCAGTGGCTTAACTTAAAACATCAGAAACTTATTCTCACACTGTTCTGGAGGCTGGAAGCCCTCAGTGTTTGACTTTGGCCCAGGTCGTGATCTCATAGTTCATGAGTTTGAGCCCTGCATCAGGCTCTCTGCTGTCAGCATGGTTCCTCTGTTCCCCTTCTCTCTCTGCCCCTCCCCTGCTTATGCTCTCTCTCTAAAAAAAAGAAAAAGAAAAAAAAGGAAGAAAATACTCCAACATAATCATATCTTGTGTCATATAAGGTAATATTCACAAGTCTTGGGATTAAGAAGTAAACATATCTTTGAGGGCCCATTTGCTTAGCTTACCATAGGAGGTAACATTTGAACTGGCTCTTTAAGGATGAGTAGGAGTTTACCTCATGGCAAAAGGTGAAGAGCATATTCCAAGGCCCAGAGGCAGGAAAGTTCTGGCCCCACCCCAGGAACCCATCAGCTAGTGCACTGGGACGTCTTGATGATGGAGAGGTGAGGCGCTGGAGGCAGGGCAAACCAGGCTATGAAGGTCTCATATACAACGTTCAGGGCCTGTGTTGTATCCTACATGCAATGAAAAACCATTACACATCTTTTTAAGGGAGAGAGATAGAGACAAGTGGGGGTGGGGCAGAGCGAGAGAAAGACAGAACTCCAAGCAGGCTCCATGCCATCAGCACAGAGCCTGACATGGTGCTTGAACCCACAGACCTCAAGATCATGATTTGAGCCAAAGTCAAGAGTTGGATGCTCAACCAACTGAGCCGTGCAGGTGCCCCAAACCAGTAGACATTTTTTAAGTAGCTTGAGACACAGTCAAAACCTTGATCCCAAGAGCACATTGTACGCACTGTATGTTAGCTAACTTGACAATAAATTATATTTAAAAAACAAACAACTTTGTTCCAAAAAGGTAACATTCGTTTGATTCCAAGAGTATTTTCTTTGCCACAGGTTATGGTGCCGGCACTAATGCTGTTGAGAGGCGGTGGAGGAGTTTGCTGTGCTCGCAGATGTGGGGTGAGTGCTGCAGGCTCAATGGAATGGTTACCCTCCCACCACCCCCACCACCTCACCCCCAGAGGGCTTATTTCCAGGCTGTGTGATTTCTCTCTGTTTTGAAGGAAAGTCTATTGACCAATGTCTAGTACTCCTAATACCTCCCTTTTAAAGCACAGTGATATTGTGCAGGGCTCTAGCCAACAGAGCTGGGAGCTGCTGTATGAAATCCCAGGACAAACAAGCCTGGAGAGAGGGTGCATAGAAAACCATTCATAATGGACACAATGTCCACCAGCTCTGGTAGACCAGCCTGCCGGGGTTTGTTGGCTGCTTCTATCTCTTGTCTGTGAGAAAGTCTAGGACCTTCCCATCCTTTGGCTTTCTTATTTCCCCAGTAGCTGATGGAGTAACACATCATAGAACTGAGATTCAAGCAAGAAAGGACATTGGAGATCTTTCTCCCAAAAACACTTACGAAGGTACGCTTGTAGGGTGGCCCCGTGAAGAACAGAGGCTGACACTCTAAGTTCATCCACTATGCACTTATTTCCCGCTCCTGATTCATGGCCCTCTCACACCACTGCTCTTTGTCCTACCCAGCACCGCTAGAAGAAAATGGTGGGAATGTCAGTTTTGCAAACTTTTCCATTTGACAACTAGGAAAGGGAAAGCCCAAAGAGGCTGGAACAGGCTGCTCAGATTTGCATGGCTTTAATCTTAGATCCAGAAAGTATGTTTAGGATTATTTATCCAGCCTCAGGGAAAGTGTTAAGTTCCATTCTTCAGCACCAGGTCTGGATCTTATCACCCAGTTGGCTCTCGAGTCACTCCAAATGAAGGCAGGACTGGCTGAGTTAGGACTTGGTCTCTGTCACCTCACTCCTGGGATCATGCTGTCTCCCACATGCAAAACTGCTTCCCAGTGTCCCTGATCACAGCCCTTAGAATTCTCATTCATTAGCCATTTCACTCATCTTTTCTGCTCCAGAGTCCCCTCTCCTATGTCTTGCAGCTGCCAGTCAGACCCTTCACGGACACTTAGCTCTGTGTTGCCTGCAGACCATCTCCAAGGGCCCCTCCAAGTCCTTCCATTCAACCTCTGCTGTCCCCTTCCCTTAGGCCCTGTGATAGGAAAGACACAACATGGACATGTCAGGAATAAGAGCTCATGCTTTGAAGCAAACAAATCCCTCAGCTCTGCCCCCAATGCATTAATGCACTAATATGCCAGAAGGTCACCTTTCCTTGACACTGGCCTCACTGGCACACTCACCCACCCATCCAGTCAACATGTATTCATGGAGTTTGTACACACTAAAGCCCTGTGTTGGTCACTGACTCAGGCATTAGAAAAACACATACTCATTTACTCACCCAATCATACAACAAATATTTGCTGAACACCCACCATCAGAGTGGCTAATAGCTCTCATTTAGAGGGCCAACACCAGCTGATTGACTGCATGTTCTGTAAAGGACTACGAGGCCTTGTCCAGAGTTGGTAGGGAAGATACTGAGATCGATTACTGACGTCCACCATGAGTGCAGACGAGGAGGCCTCAACTATGTGCCAGGCAGCAGGTGGGCTACTGGCCGTTTGGTGGGAATAAGTCACGTTTCCCGCTGTCAGTTTTATAGTGAATTATTTCATTCTCTAGAATTGCAACTGAGGGAGGTGAATGGAGAGAGGGCTTCTCAGCTCCGGTTCTCCTTTTTGTTTGTTTTGTGCATTTGGTAAGCAAAACAAAAAACAACTACCCAGGCTGGCATCTTTCCAAAAGAAGATTCAGAGCATGTTCAGTTTACCAGGAAACTCAGGGGATGCATCTTTAGAAAGCATACCACCTCCCTCCCCATTTGTGGCACTGAATTTTTGGCTCTGTTCCATTGCAGATGCTGTTCCCTGTGCTTCTGGCCATACAGGGCACTATGGGGGCGATGTACTGTGTGGTCATTTCTTCACTGGGTCTGCTCAGCGGCCCCTTCTGTGACACAGGCAGTGGAAACTACACCTACCCTTTCAGGAATAACACCCTGGAGTGAGTAGCATTCATGGCCTTGGGTCAGTGTCCAATGTCTAAAGATGATACAGCTGATGACCACAAAGAGTGTGTGCTCTCAGTACTGGCTGCCCAGAAATGTGGCCACTTACCTCCATTCATACCCGGTGTATTGTTTCTCTCTTCCCACTTGCTCCCAAAGCAACAATAGCTAGGTGGTGGTTGACCAAGATGAGAAACCCTTGTGTGCCTATGAATTAAGCCATCCACCTATGGTGTTTACTACAATAGCTTGACTTCATTAGCCCTCATTACTAAACTCAACTGAGTATGTGCCGAGGACCCGCCTAGTACTGCCTAGGCACTACAGTGAGAGAAAGGACTACAAAGGAAAGGTAAGACAACTTGCCTACCTGCAAGGAGCTCACAATCAAATTGGGGAGACAATTACTGCACTTGGGGTTGCACAAATATCCTGATATGGCAGGGTCCTGTGATGCACATTTATTTTCCTAAAGGAATGCAGAAATCCAGCACCAATGATTGAGAAAGACCTTGCTTCTCTTCTCATTTCCTGCTGTCTTCCTGGCAGATCTCATCTGTCCCCCTGTCTTTCAGAACCATCCATCTATACATATAAATAATCCTACTATGTTTATCTCTAGTCTAGATCTTTCTTCCACAATCTTAACTCAAATATCTAATTACCTTCTAAAATTTCCTCTTGAAAGTCTCACAGCATTTCAGTGTTAATATGTTCAAAACCTTTGATATTCCCTCCACAAATCTTAATCAGTCATTGTAGCCCATTAGATGGCACCTAGAACCTGCAAGTCATCTTTATTCTTCTCCTTTCTTACTTTCCCTGTTCAGTTCACCACTAAGTCCTGTCAATCCTTCCTCAACAGCAGATCTTGAACTTGCCACTGTTCTTCACCTAGTCTGCCATCACCCCCTTCCAAATCTTATCCAGCACCTTTTGCCTCCAACAAGTATCTCACTTCCATTTTGCCCTTCAGTCCTTTGTCATACATTTGTCAAAGGGGCTTTGTCAAATGTAAAAGTGCTGATAAGGCCATGACATTTTTATATTTAAGAAACTTGCAATCCTTTTGGGATCTCCATGGAAATGGATTCAGGTAGGGGTAAAGGTAGAGAGAGAGAGACAGAGATATAATAGATAGCCCCATGAAATATGGCTTGAAAATATATTCCATTTCTCTTTGTCCAACTAGTAGTCTGATTCCAAATTTCTCTTACAATTTTTGCTTACATGCTATTTCTTCTTACAGTTCACTGCTCTCCTCTCTGCTGTTCTTTAAGGCCAGGTGACTTATGAGGTCTCCTCCAGTTACTCTAGAACTCTCGGATCTCCCCTTTCCATGATAATGATTGTGATGGAACTAAAATATATCACCTACTACACAGCAGGCACTGCCCTAACACTTTGTCTCATCTTCCCAACCATGCTATGGTGTTGATGCTATCATCAACCCCATTTCCCACATAAGGAATCTGATATACAGAAACATTTAGGAAACTTATCTTAGTGAGGGGAACTTCTCAGTGAGGGGGGCTGGAATTAGGACCTAGATCTGCAGGACTTTGAAGCCCAAGCTCTTAACCACTCTTCAATGCCCCTGGGATCCATACACCAGTAAAATCGTGTATCACACAATTTCCCACTTTTCCACATGCTCCCTTCTGGGGTTATGTCTGTACCTACAATGCCTTGCTGAGATGTTATGCTATTAGGTGGGAAGTTGGTGTGTTCCATCCCTGACCAATGGTTAATAATAACTCTACTGCCTTGATGAAGATGAGAGCAATGAAGACCCGTAAGCTTTATAAGCACCTATATTAGACTCACACTTCTACATGTTTGTAGGTAACAGCTCTCTCCCTTTACTGTCTCTCAAGGCCAGGCCAATGTTCTCCTCTGTCCTGCAGGGACAACTACTTATTCAACCAGCCCACCTGGGCCATCTGCCGGGAGCCTGAGCATATTGTCCTCTGGAATGTGGTCTTGCTTTCCATCCTTCTAGGCATCGGTGTGGTGGAAGCTGTGCTTTGCCTTAGCCAAGCTGCCAGTGGACTCGGCAACATCTTCTGTGGTACATGCGTCAGGAAAGGCCAGGTGGGTGCTTCTAGAACCCAGGAATTTTCAAGTCATTTTCAGGTCAGGAACTAGGAAATGCCTTTTGAAATACAGAACTTCATTTGATACTTTGGGCTTAATTTTCTTCCAGGTGAACATAACTGGCTTATGACCTAAGAAATCACAACTGATTGACACAGGTTCAAGAAGGACTGGATTTGGTGAATATCAATCCCCAGAGTTCTGAGAAGCTGAGGAAAAAATCCCAACTTTCTTACCAGAGTAGATTTTTGTAAAAGGACAACAGTTTTAAAAACTTCATCTTGTTAGAATCAAGATTGTCATCTCCTCCAACTAAGAATGATATAACCTATCATGAGGCTGTACAATAATAGAGTAATAATAAATGATAATATAATAGTAGCTGTTTAATATATTTGTTACTATATCCCAAGTTCTGTGTTAAGCACTTTATCTACATTATTTCAGTTAATCCTGTAAAACAAATGGCATAATAATGCCATCTTAAGATAAGGAAACTCAGGCTCAGAGAGGTACAGTAACTTGTCCGAAGTCATTGTATCTAAGTTTTGAATTTGAGCCTGATTTCAACATTTATATTCTACAGTGGTTCTCAGAGTTTACTGTTTAAGACATTAGTTCCATGGATTGTAACAGGTGTTATTTATTCATGAAATAAGGGGTGTGGATGATCCTGTTGTCAAATTAATTTGAGACACCTTGGATTAAACAGAGTTTAATAGGTTTCTTCACTACAGGACTTGTCAAAACCTTTACAAATCCAGTATATATTGCTAATCTCCAGGAAGAGCATAGCAAGCCCACAATTGCCTAGTCTCTGACCACAAAGCCTTTTTCTCCTGGAGCAATTTTTATGGTGCTAATGTCCTATGGAGCACATTTTGAGAAACACTGCATAACTCAGGGATGAGGTAGAACCTACCTCACTTAACCCATGAGAATCCAAGAGACTTCTCCAAACCACCAGAGAGGCAGAAAAATATAGGATGAACCAGGTGAAGGACTACTCACCTGTATTTAAAAAAAAAGAAGAAGAAAAGAAAAAAAGGTTTTGCTGTAATACCTGGAATCAGAAGTTTTCTTTTCCAGTTTCTTTACTGTCATTGCAACAAACACCTTTGAGAATTCAATTTACCATACTAGCTGCCAAAGGGGCATCAGACAGGGTCTCTGCTTTATAAGCTTGCAGACTAACGGATCCTGCACAGTTGATTGCTTCCGCAGTAGATACCCACAACCCCTGTTAGCTCAAATGGCACCTTTGCACAAATTAGAAAAAAAGGCAGAGGCTACAGCTTGGCAATGGCAAATTTAAATAGGCACCTTCTAGTCCAGGTTGATGCAGCCTATACAGGTTAAATATCAGCCCCCTGAATTCATGTTTAACAGAAACCTCAGAATATGATCTTATTTGTAAATAGTGTCTTTGTAGATGTAATCAGTTAAGGAGTGGTCATACTGGTGCTAGGAGTTTACCCAAGGGATACAGGAGTGCTGATGCATAGGGGCACATGTACCCCAATGTTCATAGCAGCACTCTCACCAATAGCCAAATCATGGAAAGAGCCTAAATGTCCATTGACTGACGAATGGATCAAGAAGATGTGGTTTATCTATGCAATGGAATACTATATGGTAATGAGAAAGAATGAAATCTGGCCATTTGTAGCAACATGGATGGAATTCGAGGGTGTTATGCTGAGGGAAATGAGTCAGGCAGAGAAAGACAGATACCATATGTTTTTACCCATATGTGGAACAAGAGAAACTTAACAGAGGACCATAGGGAAGGGGAAGGGGAAAAAATAGGTAAAGAGGGGGAGGGAGGTAAACCATAGGAGACTCTTAAATACTTAGAACAAACTGAAGGTTGATGGGACATGGGGGAGAGGAGGGATTGGGTGATGGGCATGGAGGAGGGCACTTGTGGGGATGAGCACTGGGTGTTATATGGAAACCAACTTGACAATAAACTATATTTAAAAAAAGCTATCCACGGAATAGTGACATATATTACATATAATATAAAAATATAAAAAAATATATATTATGTATAATATATATCAGCTTTTATATCTTGATCTATATCTATATATCTATTCCCAGAGAACAGAATAAATTAAAGTGGTCTACTAGAGGGGGAAAAAAAAAGAAGCAGTCATACTGGGCTAGGGTGGACCGTAACCCTAAATCCAACATGAACAGTGTCCTTATAAGAAAAGAAGCACACACAGAGAGAAGAAGGCCACGTGAAGATGGAAGCAGAGATCGAAGTGAGGCCAGCAAAGACCAACAAATGCCAAAGATGGCGGGCAGCCACCAGGAGGGAGTCACAGAACAGATGCCCCACTCTGAGCCTCCAGAACCCAGCCGACATCTTGATTTCAGACTTCCAGTTTCCAGAACTGTGGGAAAACAAATTTCTGTGGTTTTAAGCCCCCCAGTTGATGGGACGTAGTTTGGCAACTGCTCTGGGAAACTCATACACAGACCCATGCCGGGCGCAGGTAAGCAGGGCACAGGCAGGATCACGCCCCATCCCCCAGACACCCGGCCTTGTGCAGAAACAACCTGCTCAACCGAACAGGGTGGCCCTGCTACTGTCACAACTAATACCGGCTACTTCTTCAGTGTCCCTTTGCTGGCACACTGACACAAATCCAGACACACAACCCCCGGAGGACTGATGTACGAAGTGCCCCGTGATGAGCCCAGTGCTGCACTAGCACCAGATGGCTCCCTCAGCCCCTGGCAGCACCGTGAGCTTGTCACCGAGGGAGGAAGATGGGCTTAGAGACAGGAAGTCTCTAGGACAGTCGGTCCACCAGATAGAATGGCTCTGTATGCTCCAAGCACTACTTCCCTGGGAGGGGGAGAAAGGTCAAAGCAAAGACTTTTATTAGCTTTTCCTCGTTGAGACACCCTCTGTGTAAATGGATGGATTTGGAGCAAGGGAGGAGAAAAGTGTCCTAACTCTGGCAAAAGTCCCTCTTGTGGTTCTTCCTTTGGTGAGTAAAAGGTACTCACTGTAAAGACACCAAGGTACAAACATTCTCTGGCCAGTAAAATGGGCGGAGGGGGCACTGAGCCGCCCTCGGGCGGGGCAGCTCGTAAAGGCAGGAGGGTTCTGCTAATGCGCTCGCAAAGGGCTCTGGAGGGTGGGAAGAGGGCCACCGACATTTTAAGTGTGGAGCCAAGCATAAAATTGTCATGATTAATCCACTTTAAAAAAAGTGTTTATTGCTAAATAGAAAATAACTCTGAAATGAAGTAGATTTTCAGGGCTGACCTACATCTAGACTTCAGCTACTCCACAATTATTTCCTGAGTCTCCACAATGTGCCAAAGTAAAGGTGCCTGGGGAGAGGAGGGGTGGAATGGCTCTCAATTCTGGAAGGAAAGGTCTAGGCAGAGGGAACATCTCAATGCACAGCGGCCCAGAGGAACGGCAGAAACGGGGGAGGCCATAATTTCCACTTCAATATCCGTCTTCAAACACATTTCAGCTCTTAAAATTCCTTACTGTCTCAAGAGAAACCAATGTTTTCCAGACCACTGTTGACTGACATTTCTCAGACTCATCTTCTGGGTATTTAAAATTGTTTTTTTCCTTCAGGACACAGCAGTGCTTTTAGAATATGATACACATGTTATTGAAGATAAGAAAACAGGTCTCCTCGGTCAGTTCAAAAATTCGTCTCACTTTATTCTTTATGCTTTGCCTATAGTATAAAAATGTTCACATTTTCCAGACTCGGCAAGGAAAACTTTTATAATTATAAATATACATGAAAAAAAATTGAGTTTACCATTTTATAAAAACTATCTAGCAGACTCACCTATCACATCTGGGGAAATGCTCTTATAGAATTAACACTGAATTGAAAGAAACTTCATGGGTCATAGTCAATCCAATATACAGTATTTTTCCCAAGTCGAATGGGCAGAAATAATTTTAGCACAGGGAGATGCACTCTAGGGTGTGTGTTGAAGAGGGTGGGTGGCAATGAAGCCAACCTAAGTAGCTTGAGAAAATTTGGAAAGAGTTGTATTTCCTGGAAACTCTAAGGCTAAATATCAAGGGGATCGTACATGGACACTGTACTCTAAACTTATTTCTTAGAGAGGTAGGAATTAACAATTACGAATCTGCTACGCGTGCATCCTGGGGTTAGGTGGTGGGTGGTGGGAGGCAGGCTTCTCCCTGTGGCTCTTTCTTTCTTTTTTCTTTTTTGTTTTTAACTTTTTTATACATTTATTTATTTTTGAGAGATAGAGTGAGACAGAGCATGAGCGAGGAGGGGCAGAGAGAGAAGGAGACACAGAATCTGAAGCAGCCTCCAGGCTCTGAGCAAGCGTTCAGCACAGAGCCCGACATGGGGCTCGAACCCACAAACCATGAGATCATGTCCTGAGCCGAAGTCGGACACTTAACTGACTGAGCCCCAGGTTTCTCCCTGTGAAAGAAAGAAGTTACAGATAAGCAAGTGGGGAAGGCTAGAATGGCCCATGTGGTACTGGATTAGAGTCAAGGACATCAGCATAAAATCACGTTTGGCTTAATATAGATACAGACGGACAGGTACAGAAATACAGATGCATGTAGCTGTACAGGTTTATTATGCAAACATGTGTTTCCTGGTTGTGCCTGCTAAGAGAGACAGAAGCAATGGACCCATGGAAACGAGCACAACCCAGTGCTCATTTTTATGACTTACTTTAAATAATACAGGATTTAAAATTTAAAATTGTATTAGATTTATCAAGTTTTTAAGAAAGAAAAGCAAAAGAGGAAAATGGACTTTGACTAAGAGGCTTTGAGCTTCCCAGCCTAACCAAGCAATAGTCTAGAAAACTCAAAAAAGCCGTAATTGGAGGCAGACTCAACTAGTTCGCCCTGTGTGCGAGCATCACTCCCACAGCTGAAAGACACAGGGCTCATTGAGTAGGCTCCCAGATTCAGCCTTTTCCTCCAAGACAGTGTCCTGAGAGGGGGT